GTATAAATAGGATTTACCTTGTAATTGTAATTAAGCTTTGTTATTAATCTGAAAATCAAGATTTGCTGATGTAATATTCTTTCTCCTCTCAATCTAATCATCTTCTTGAATATCTTCTTTCTACTTTGAAGTTCATCACAATCTATGAAGATTATTCCATGTTTGTATGAAATCTGGACTCATCAAGATCCATCCTTCTTTTTGACAAACAAAACTGGAGCTCCCCAAGGTGAAGAGTTGGGTCTGATGAATCCTTTATCGAGTAATTCCTGAAGTTGTTCCAACAGCTCCTTCATCTCAGATGGTGCTAACCGATATGGTGCTTTTGCCATGGGTGCAACCGCGGGAATTAGTTCTATGTGGAACTCAACTTGTCTTGGTGAGGGTATTCCAGGCAATTCATCTGGGAATACTTCGGGAAAATCCCGAATTATAAGAATATCTTGAACGCGTTTTTCTTCAGCTTTCTTATCCATAACGTGAGCTAGAAAGGCAATGCAGTCCTTTCTCAAATACTTTCGCATCTTCAAACACGTCACTATTTTAATACCCCTTTTGGGTTTCTCTCTGTGTACTTCGAGTATTCCTCCTTCGGGTAACGGAATTCGAACGATCTTCTCGAAACAACTAATTTCAGCTCGATTCTTGGATAACCAATCCATGCCCACAATTATGTCAAAACTTCCTAGTTGGATCGGGATTAAATCTATACGAAAATCCCTACTAGTCAAGTTTAAAGTGCAATCCATTATTATGTCTTTGGCCTTACACTCTTGACCGTTGGCATATTCAATGATGTATACTTCTTTCAACCTTTGAGGTCTTAGATTTATTTTTGGTCTAAAATCTAATGACACAAAACTCCTATCCGCTCCAGAATCAAATAGTACAGATACGTAATGATTATTTAAGAGAAACGTACCTGTAACTACATCTGGATTCTGCCTTGCTTCCTCAGCTCCAATCTCAAACAATCGGCCTCTTGCCGGACCTCCTTGATTCCCTTGGTTGGCTGGTCGTGCTTGGTTAGTGTTCGGTCTCTGGTTCCATCGTGGACATGCATTCCGAAAGTGATCTGGGCTTCCACACTCGAAACATGCCCGCCTTCCTGTGCTCCTGCAATCTTTGGCATAGTGATCTCCTTTGTTGTATTTTTGACAGATAATACATCGTCCGGCATGCTGTTTATTGCACTTCTCACACCTTTGATAAGTTCTTTTCTCCTTCTCTGTTGATTGAGTCTGAATCACGTAGTTTCCTGATATTTTCAGAGCCTTTCCCATTCTTCCCCCAGACTGCCTTCGTGTAGGTTCCTCCATCTTTCTCTTCCCTGAAGCCTTATCTTTTACAAACATTCCCGAACGAGTAGCATTGTTGGTGAGTTTGGTTGCCGAACTTACTGCCTCTTGTAGGGTTTTTGGGTTTGCCAAAGTAACATCCCCGCGTATCACCGGAGATAATCCCTAAATATATCTATCAACTCGATTCTCTTCAGGCGTCACTAGATGCGGTACCATTTTTGCCAACTCATGAAAACGTGCAGTATAAGAGTCTATATCATTTCCTCTTATTTCATGATTCCATAATTCTGCTTCCAGTTTATGGATCTCGCTCCTTGGACAATACTCTTCTTTCATCATTTTTCTTAAAATCTTCCCACGTAAGACCGTTGGCGGCTTCTCGGCCCCGAGTTTGTACTTGGGTATTCCACCAAGTTAATGCTCGTCCTTGTAATAGACATGCAACAAACTCTACTTTCTTCCCTTTGGTACATTCGCTAATATGGAGCACAGACTCCATGCTCTCTAACCAAGTCAGTAATCCCACGGCTCCCTCAGTCCCGTGAAATTCCTTCGGATTACAACTCCTAAAGGATTTGTAC